GGAAGAGTGGAGAAGACGAGGTCGGAAGGAACAGACAAGAGGACCCGTAGGCCACATAAAGACCTGGGTTCTAACCGTAAGTGAGGTGGAAGCCGTTTGGAGGTTTTACAATGATCCCTCTGGCTGCCTTCATTGTGGATAATAGACTGTGCTACTTAAGGGCAGAAGCAGGGAGACCAGTGAGGAGGCTGTTAGGATAATTCACACAAGAAGTAATGATTTGGACCAGGAGAGCAGCTGTGGAGGTGATGGCAAGAGGATTCTGGATGTATTTTTTAAAATATTCCCTTAAGTTTATTTATTTATTTTGAGAGCGAGAGCAAGCGGGGGAGGGGCAGGGAAAGAGAGAGACAGGCAGAATCCCAAGCAGGCTCTGCACTGTCAGTGTGGAGCCCCATGCACGGCTGAAACTCACAAACCGTGAGATCATGACCTGAGCTGAAACCAAGGGTTGGACGCTTAACAGACTGAGACACCCAGGCGCCCCTGATGTATTTTGAAAGTAGGGCTAACATCGTTTGCTGCTGGTAGTGCAACTGTAACAAATCCAAGACTTCAGCAGTGAGGGCTCTCTCCACTTCCCTGGGAACAGAGTGAGGTTCGATTTTTAAGACCCAGCCCCCAGGATGTCAAAGCATCCTCAGTTCATTTGCCCCCCATCCCCACGACCACCTCCCAACCATGGAAATTAAAGAGGCACGGAGGAGGCAGGGGTGGTCCCAGTCCTCCCCGATGGAGCCGGAGTGGTCAGAGCTCAGCCTGGCTGCCCTCTGCTGCAGCCCCAGGGGAGAATCTGCCGTGAGCCAGCTGGCAGGAGGCCGGAGCCAAGTGCTCAGAAAAAAAAAGTTAGATCCAGGCCTTTTTGGAAGCAGCGGAGTTAATTTTAAAATATGGTGTCCCTGGACTTAAAAACACTGAGCTCAGAAACTGAATTTTACAGAAACTGAATGAATGAACAAGGATCCCAGACAGTGAGACAGTTTTATCAATGGGAAAGTTTCACACTCACTCTTTTTCAATTCCCCGGAGATGCTTGCATTCACTTGACAGTTTAGGAAACCCTGAGGCAAAAGACTCTCTGTCCTGAGGTACAGTGTCCAGACCTGGCTGCAGCTGCTGGCTCCAAGTTGTCTCTAGATGGAGCTCAGGCCGGCTGGTGGGAAACCAGGGCCAGGGAGCTTGGTTCAAATTTGCATTTACATAGCACGCCTTGCGTATGACTGAGAAACCTGAGTTACTTCAGAGACAGAGTCGGACCCGGGGGAGACAGGTGCCCGCAAGCCTCCTCAGCGTCTTCATGATGGTAGTGGCCCTGGGCGAGGCACTTCCCCTTGCTCGTTTATGGAACAAGCAGGCAATGTGACCTGGGTCATCAGCATGAATATCCTGGCTCCCCACCTCTTCCTAGAGGGGTGGCCTCAGGCAAGTGGCTTAAGGGCTTATTGCCTCAGTTTCTCATCTGTAAAACAGAGGTAATAATAGCACCCCGTTCATAGGTTTGTTGCAAGGATTAAATGCTATAAACCGCATAAAGCATTTAGAACCACGGCAGGCAGATGATCATCAATGCTGGCCGTTGTTATATTTGTGACTTAAAAGGAGACTGGGACGCCAGGGTGGCTCAGTAGGTTGGGCATCCGACTTTGGCTCAGGTCGTGATCTCACTGCCCCTGAGTTCCAGCCCCATGCTGGGCTCTGTGCTGACAGCTCAGAGCCTGAAGCCTGCTTCTGATTCTGTCTGTCTGTCTGTCTCTCTCTCTCTCTGCTCCTCCCCTGCTCATGCTGTCTCTCTCTCTCTCTCTCTCAAATATAAATAAATAAATAAAAAAGGAGACTGAGTTAGAGAATCTCCAACTTCTCTATCCTGTCAATTAGCAGATGGCCATGTTCAAATGCCAGACTGATTGTCAAGTGATGAGGGCAGCCACCTGGGAGTGGGGTAGGCGGAGAACTGGGTGTGAGAGATGAACGCTGGGGTCAGGAAGGAAATTCAAGCCACAGTGAATAATTCATTCATTCAACGAATATTTATTGAGCACCTACTGTGTGCTGGGCACTCCTTCGGTGCTGAGACATGGCAGCAAATGAAACAGGCAAAGACCTGCCCTCACGGAGCTCACATTTCTGTGGGCTGGTGGGACAGGGTAAAGCCGCAGTGACTTTTGCCAGCATGTTTATCTGGGCACTAGGCTGGCTGAAGGGAAGTTATGGAAGCCAAAGCTGATGCCCCCCTCCCCGCCCCCACCCCTGTCCCACAGGCCCACACCTCTGTTCGCCTGAAACATGGGTTCCTGGTGGTGATGCAGCTTCTCACTTCAAATGTTCCCATCCTTCCGGTTTCCTCCGGCATCATGGGAAGTTGTTCCACCCATGAGAGGAGGAACCCAAACTTGCCCCCCAGAAGGAAGCCCTCAATCAGCGACAGGCGTGGATACATTTAGCAGTTGGCAGAACGTGCACTGATTAGTTTCCTTATCTATGGAATAAGAGCCATTAATGGAAAGAAGGACTGAATGGAAGTCTCTTAAGTTATCCCCCTAGTCAAGACAGTGAATCAGAAGCAACGCCGCTTGCCAGGGGCAGTGCAGAGATCGGTGCTCCTTTCAAAGGCCTGCAGGGAGCAAGGTGGTTCCCATCATATCCCCATTCCATCCACCCCATACTGCTCCTATAATAACCAAACGAAGCATGGCAGTTGATGGTTATCCACGTCGTTGCCTTAATTGCAGGCATCATATCAGATATGGTATCTTTGCTAGAATAGTCTACACAGCCTCTGACTGTAAGAAGCTAACAATATGGCCAGCGCATTCTCTCTGATCCGTTTCAGGAAAAGGGAGAAGAAATGGGGCATATTCACGTTCTTTACAAGAATTCAGAGACCTGTCATGTTCTGTTTCAAGTGGTCAAATGAACTGTGACGTGCTGGGACGTTCCCTCTATAGGAAAAGACAAGTACTGAGGACATGCTCCCCCTCAAAAGAGAAATAGCTTTAGCGAGCCAAGGTGGACTTCGGAGGCCATATACTAATGCTCTGGCCCTTGGGGCGCCTGGGTGGTTCAGTCGGTTAAGCGGCCGACTTCGGCTCAGGTCATGATCTCGCGGTCTGTGAGTTCGAGCCCCGCGTCGGGCTCTGTGCTGACAGCTCAGAGCCTGGAGCCTGTTTCAGATTCTGTGTCGCCCTCTCTCTGACCCTCCCTTGTTCATGCTCTGTCTCTCCCTGTCTCAAAAATAAATAAAACGTTAAAAAAAATTAAAAAAAAAAAAAAAAACTAATGCTCTGGCCCATTTACCAGATGGCATGGGGAGCTGCCACGTTGGAGTGGAGTCCAGAATCAAAGAGGGCTCTGTGACAGGTCCATGCTATAGGACAAGCACTTGGGACATACGACCTTGTGTGTCCCATGGTACTAGAAATATCCGTGGCAGATAAGTAGACAGTGTGAAGTCTCTGAAAAGTCCCAGTGGGAGAACCCTACCTCAGATCCCTAGGGTTCTAGAGCAAAGCCATGTCCCATACAGCAGAGAATTATCCCATATCTGAAAAGTGGTTTTTGGCTAAATTGCAGAATCAGGAGCAAATAAAGGTCATCGTTTTAAGCCACTAAGTCTTGGAGTGGTTAGCTATGAACAGATCATCAGAAACGTGCACATAAAGTACTTTGTTCTTGTTAACGTTGCATAATACTCCACTCTAGAAAGATACCACAATTTACACATCCGTTCTTGTTGTGGACATTTGGGTTGTTCCCAGCTTGGGTCGTTCCCAGCTTGGGTCTGTCAAGAATAACGCTGCCATGAACGTGCCTTCTGGTGGAAATACGTACTGATTTCTCATGAGAACAAACAGGAAGGGGAGTCTCGAGTCATGGGGTGGGCACGAGGGGAGCCATTTTTAGAAGGGATTGCCTGTTTTCTAAAGTAGTTGAAATATTTCATACTTCTGCCAGCCAGGTTTGCCTTCCGGTTGTTCCTAATCCTTGCCCTCGCTTGGCATTGTCTTTTTCACGTTAGTCATTCTGGTCGATGCACAGTGTTATCTTATTGTGGTTTTAATGTGCATTTCCGCCATGAGTAATGAGGTGCAGTTCTCTGGTGAGTAACATATCCCTTACTAAAAAAGACCACACAAGGAACCAAAATATTGACCGTGGCGATCTTTGCAGAGGTGTGATGTTTACTGTGGTTGTTTTGTTGCCGTCTTTTTTGGCTCATGGTCTGTTTGTTAAGCCTCTGCGTTTTTTTAACTTTAAATGCTTAATTGTTAAAATTGTGGACACAACCGAAAGAACTTCTGCCTACTCATTCTTACAAATGACAAGGCGTATGGGCCACAATGGTAATATCACAAGTAAAATCACCAAGAAACATTTATTGAGCACCTGCTGTATACCCAGCACTGAGGAAGGGGCAATGAAGGGCACAGAGCAGTATAGGACTTGTTCCCTGCCCTTCAGAGGCTTACAGTCTAGGTGGAGACAGGAGGAGCCAGGAGAAAACAGTCCAGGCCAGCATGTTACAGGAACGTAAGATGTTTGGGGTCAGACCCACTAAGTGCTTCGATGCCTCCAGGGGCTCAATGCTCAGTGCTGGGAAAGACAATAACTCCCAACTCCCAGGGCCGCATTAGCCCGCTTAGCATACCCTATCCACAGCCTCTACCCTACCATCTTAAAACATCTGACTCCTTGTTCAGCTGCTATCAAAGTGCAATGAAATGGGGGAGGGTGGGGCAGTGGGGAAGGTCCTTGGAGGGGTTCCAGGGGCTGGTGTCACGCTCTTCCTCCTCGAAAACTCTGCTCCCCGAGACATACCCCTGACAGAGGGATCCCCGCTCAAGAAGGCCTGTCCAACCACCAGAACCTCTGCCCCAGAAGGTAAGAGGAGGAGGCGGCCACTGCTTGAGCTGCCTGAGGTAGAACTGGGGACCCCTACTTCTAGCATACCCCTTCCCTCCCAGTCCACTAAGCTGGGGGGACAGGCACCCCAGAGCTGCCACCTAGGGCCGAGAGGGTACTAGAGCGAAAGGGTATGGGGGAGGGGAGCGGAGCAGAGAGGGACTTGAAAGCCCAGCTGGAAAAGAGGGGCGTCTGGGGCTCCTAGAAAAGTGCAGGGGAGGCCAAACATTGAGACTGGCTTCCCTGTGGGTGGCAGAGGGGGTGAGAGGAGGTGGGGTGGTTTGCTACAGGACCCTACCTTCGCCCGTGCCTTCACAGAGCAGGGCGGGGCATCAGGGGCCAGGAAAGTGCCACGTTCCCAGCTGTGTTCCAGGCTGTGCCCACTTCAAGGTCACACTGCCCGACCTCAGAGAAGGGGAGGGGCCTCCAAAGTGTTGATGATGCCCCCACCCTGCTGGGCCCCCTTCAAAGTGCTATCTGTGTACTTCTCAAATGATAAAGAATCCGGGTTTGAGAATGCAGGAAAGGGGCAGAAATTTCATAACCCCCATGAGGTGGTGAGCGGAAGGAGCCAGGCCCCTCCAGGGAGCACCACCCAGAAGGTGAGGGTCACGCCAGCCCCACCTTACCTCTGGGAGAGCAGAAATGGGGAGCACAGGATGAAGACGTCTTAAATAATAGTTCGCATAATAAAAATACCTAGCGCTCTAATAAACCTATCATTCTGCTGTCTAATGGTTTTTTAAATAATTGGAAATGCCAAAGGCTGGGGCGGGGGGAGCGGGGGGAAGGGTGGTGGCAAGCAGGATATGTACATGAGGAGGAGTTTAAATTAAAACACAAATAATAATTAAGACGCACAAACTGAAGGACTAAAGGCAAAGGTGGAGAAGAGGCCTATGGGGGCAGTTGGGGGGGGGGGCG